ATCAAAGTGTTTTATCTATTATTAATCTCTAAGCGAGTTACAAAATTTATAATAAATTTAGAACAGTACTTGTTTTATTTTAATATTGATATTATATAGGTTATATTATACATGTCATGCATATTAATAAACTTGTTTGGTTTATCTTTTATAATAGATTGATAAGTTTGATGGACTACCAAACATGCTTTGTGCAAAGTGTGCTTACCGTACTGATGCATTCTATGATTTTAAATTGCAAGTTCAAGCTACTGAAAAGAAACTTCGCAAAATGTTTGAAACACAAATTCGTTATGCCATAAAGGTAAGAGACTTGTAGCCTTTGTAGTTACATAATAAAGATTTATTTTATAATAAAATCTTCAGTCTTTTTTTTACTACTATGATTTAAAAAATTAATGTAAAGCTCTAAAGCATTTCTTGTTGAATGATTGATATATTAGATCTCCAGCTTTATAACACAATCATTTAAAGCAATTTCTAATAATGCTGAACATATGTTTGCATTGTTTAATTTCGTATTAAAACAGTTCTTATAGGTTATGAAAAATGTCATGTGTCCTCTTCCAATATTTTTCTTTCCTCTGTTATGTGTTAAAAGAGGAAGGATTTTCTTCAGTAGTATTTTTCTTTGAAAGTAGTATTACTTTCTTATTATTTTAATTATTTTTTATATTGTTCCGAATGGTTGTTCGAGATGAAACTTGGTGGGGTTATGAGGGATGTGAAAGTACTCGAAATATAAAATCTTAGCTACGGGAAATCACCCGTTCGGAAGATACAGATTCTAACCTAACTCAGCCCTTTTCTCGAGAACGGGTTAGTGTGGGATTTTTACCCACTAAAACTTCCACGGGGACGCACGTTATGAAGGCCCACGGCCACTAATACGAACGCCCTCTAGGCACTTTGCGAAGCAAATAGCAGTCCATTACACTATTTAAAGCATATAAACAAATCACAACAATTCGATGTTGATTCTAAGTTCATTCAAACTGCAATTAAGTACACAAAGTACATAATTAGCAAGCAAATAGCGTAGAAAATGCCTTACACATGAGAACCTGTATCTTCCGAACGGGGGAATTCCCGAAAAGAAATGTACATAGATGAAATAAACATTTGATTAGCAGTATTTTGACTATTCCGTATTTCAAAGTGAAGAATACTTCTTAGATCTATTAGCCTTGGTGTATAGCAAATATTACATTATTTTGATCCATTTTGATTCATTGTATTATAGAAGAAGATGTACAGTTAAGCACAAAAATATCACGCATTTCGAAATAATAAAAACCAAATGCTTATCTTTAAGCATCTATCATTTAAAGATTGAATAACTCTCTTTATTCTGCTCAATTCATCAATCCTTGATATGTTATACTCTTATGACTTATGATGAAATTTCTTAACTTCATCGTAGGGTGTAGTTGCATGTACATAATTGGCAAATATTAATGTCGTGTCCAACTGGTTGCTATTGACTTTCAGGAAGAAGCAATTAGCAATGATTTTGAGCCAGACAGTTCGGAACAATCGAACGAATTGTTACAGGCGAAACTGTTAGATGACAAACAGGATATTAAGCCCTTAAGTAATGCAGATAGTTCGGAGGAATTTTTACCGGGAGAAATGAATATGAACGATAAAGGTGAACAATTCGACATGTCTGAATTAGTGGAAGAAAGCGAGGAATTTAATAAGGCCGAAATATCCGAGTTAAGAGGTATTATTATTTCGAAATTGTCAGAGGCAGAGGTTGATCCAGAGAAACGATTGAAAGGCGAGATACCCGATGAAATTTCGAAAATTTTTGAATCTCAGCAATTAGATTATACGATAATGTATATACCGGAAGAGGATGTTTCTTTGGAAGACGTGGGGCATGTAAATACTGATAACTCGGTTTCCTGCGATCCTATTAAATTAGATGACAATAAAGAAATGATCGAAACTAGTTGTAATGGTGAGCTCTTAGACGAACCTATGGGTAGCGAGGAATTTTTGAATGCTGTGTGCAACGAGAAAAATGTAGAAATGGAAACTAGTAGAATACACAACGACAAGATTGCGATACTGGAAGAAAAATCGAGGGAAAGAATGAACGGTAAACATATACGAAAAGTTTCGTTAGAAGTGCATCCTCACGCGGATGATAGCGAGGACTCAGATTCTGATTATTTCGTTGACCCAAAAGACAATATATTGGGTAGTTTGAACGACACGATAACGAGAATAAAAGAGATTAAACTGGAGGACGACGTGGTACAGTATCAATGTACTTTGTGCTTGCAAAATTACGACAAGCTGACCGGAGTTTTATTGCATACTATAGACAATCACGTGCCGAGTAGCGGGCCGTTCTTCTGTGTGGTATGTGAGAAAGACTGCGAGAGTCATAGAGAATTACGAACGCATGTGAAAACGCATACCGGCCAGTTCCCTTATTCCTGTTTCATATGTAGCAAAGCGTATGCGATGAAAAGGTATCTAAAAAGGCATATGGTTTGCCATACGGATTTCCCGAGATACAGGTGTCCAAAGTGTGGGCTGAGATTCAAAATCAAGTCAGAGTTAGAGTCTCACATTACCACGCATATACGTGGTGCACCTTATGCCTGTAGCCAATGTCCACGACTGTTCAATCATAAGGGTAACTACAAGCGACACTTGATCACTCATTTGGACCCTCAAGGTCTTCATCTACCCAAATATCCCTGTAAAGTCTGTGGGAAACGATTTCTAAATAATCGTACTTTGGAGACTCATATGCGTGTTCATACTGGTGAAAAACCGTTCAAATGCGATGTTTGCGGACGATCATTTTCGCAACAAGGCAACTTGTTGAATCACGTAAGGATCCATTCGAATCCTCGAAGTTACACGTGTGAAGTTTGCGGAAAACGATTTAACCAAAGGGCAACTCTGAGAGATCATAGTCTTCTCCATACGGGAGAGAAACCGTATGTCTGTAATGTTTGTGGAATAGCGTTCACGTTTAGCGCCGCGTTGAGACGTCACATGTGGACTCATACTGGTGGAAAACCGTTCGGATGTGAAATCTGTAGTGCTCGTTTCGTTGGAAAGTATGATCTACGACGACACATGAGGATACACACCGACAGACCTAAAACAAAACGAAGGAAAAATGTAATTAAGTCGAGCAGCGAGCAAGAGACTAAAGAAGAGAACGGTGTAATTTCCGATCACCCTGATACAGACACCGTTCTGATAGAACAGGTTCTACTAACTCAGGATGTCACACAGGTTGTACAGCAACAAGAGTCTGAGAAAGAAAATGTGGATGCTCTTTTTAATCTTATACAATATGGATAGTAGTGTTTCCCGTTTTCCGTTCTTACTGTATAAACACCAACTACAAGTTCTGATTTCTTTTATTATTTCAAAGTATTTTCAAGTTGGAATATGCAATTTTTCTGAAATTAAATCATAAAGTAACTGTCAACTGAAACAAATGTCAAGCAGCATATTTAAACTCGTATATTGTGTAATTCAAAAACGACGAATTAACGCTATAAACTTTATATTTAATGAAAGTATTACATAGTTGTATATAACATTTGTGAATTAACGTTAACAATGGATATTTACGATTTTTATAGAACTTCATAAGCTTACAAAATAGTAAAAAGCAGAAGACGTATGTTTCCTTTTTTACTATTTTTTTTTAAACACCTGTATGTGTTGAAAAATATGATTTTTTTTTTAAGCTGATAATTTTCTTGTGCAAAGCTTTCCTTTTACGTCTTCTTTACTTTCTTCCATACGAATTTTTCTATGAAAGTCGTAGATAGACATTTCGTACACGTTTTAAACAAATAATTGATATAGATCATGCTACTTTTGATCTTCATCGTTGATTCTTTACTTTTTCATTATGCATCTGAATGCTCATAACATAGGTATAATTTTGAACAATTTTACAATAATACCGACGGTTATTTTTAAAACAATTGATTTCTTGCAAAAAAGTTGTAGGTTAATTTTATCATAGGATTTCAGACGTGAAAGAAGGAATAAACTTCACAATAGTTCATAATTAGAAGTAAAATTACGCAAATTGCAAACATTTAACGTAAGATAATAGTAAAAGTTAGATAATAGTATTGTATTATTTATTAGTATTAGACACGTGTAGTATCAGATACACAAAGTATGCAGTTTGAAATACAGAAATATGCATATAGTGTCGCAGTTTCATCCGATCAGGTTAATATTATTTATAAAATCGATTTCATTTGTTTGTCAAACAATGTTCATGCTAGGTGCAGAGCTTACAATTCAAATAATTGTAAGTTATATTTTTTAGTTATATTAAATAAGTATATAGTAAATAATTTTCAGTTATGTACTTTCTTGCAAACTTGTCACTTTCCTACAATGACAATGTGTTTAACAGTTTATCGATGATAGTGAAGCTAGTCAGAAATATAAATTATTTAAATAATTTAAAATTGAATAAACCCACTTGCTTAATATGATTATCGTTTCACTGTTGTTGGATAAAATTTTCAATCCAC